GGATGATCGTCTTAAACCAGAGAGACGATGGCCCCCCTTCATCGGACCGATAAGAAGTCTCAATTATGCTCAAAGCCACAAAGTTCTGCAATGTAGGATATTGCACACTCACGTGATCCTATAGCTCAGCCATAGCGTCCTCTAAACTCACAAAGCCTGGCAGTTCGACGACGGAGCCATAGAGTGCCCGGTCGCAGATTTGGAGCGCGAGGGTCTGGTAGCACAGCGCATTAAAGAGACATTTCTGGGTGGCCTGGACGTCAATGCACAGCTTTTGCAACGGCGAGGACCCGAAACACTTTTGTTCGCTCGGGAGAAGTGTGCTTCGGCGTCTCGCCGCAGCGGGGCGCCAGTCATGTGGCTCTTCTTTCATCCGTTGTCTGCTCTCCATCTTTTCCATTTCGGCGGCCGCTTCCCGTGGCGATCTGGCAGGCTTTGTCAGTATATAGGAGGCTATGTCACGACGGAAGGCAATGAGTGCGTGCCGGAAGCCTGACATTGGAAAAAGGCTCCCTGCCGTTCTCATCCTGTCAGTGACGACAGTCGGCTCACCACTGTTGAAGAGCGAGCCGACGAGGAACGCGAAGTTGATGGTGCTCGTGGAGTAGACCACGAAGAGCAGCAGAATGACCAGTGGGTTGCTGTTCCGTATCACGGGCCCGTTCCCGGTGAGCGGCGTCATGGTGGTGAACACAAGGACCACGGAGCTAACCGTCATCGCCATCAGCGTCACAAGAAACCAGGCAATGTAGTTGAGCCAGGGATTGATGCCCATCATCTGGAGGAAGTCCTGCAGAAGCAAGTGCCATACCCACCGGGCAATGAAGTATAATTTGAAAAGTGGCGCCGCCTTACGGGAATTTGTGCAACCTCGAGGCGGCCGGCGGCCGCGATCATTAAACCCTATCTCCAGCTTTAATCTCCGAGCGCCATTCTGAACTGTGACGCAGTGCTCGTGTCCCATTGCTCGGTGACATGGCCTTCTTGAAAGTTGCCTTTTTTGTCAACCAGCCGCGCTGACTAGCAGCCGACCGAGGAGCTTTCTGTTCACTGCCCTGGGGCTATGTGCAAATACTTTGGGTTCGCACATGGGAAAGAAGATTGCGTGACATACTACGCAGATTTTGGAGATTGTTCCTTTAATGTCATAAAGCTAGCGTTGTAGACGATTGCAAATAAAATACACATTATTCTTTGTTGAAGGTGATCGGCTAGAATTTTGTACTGCTCTGAATTTCTGGTGGCCTCCAAGCCAGGAAAACGTTTTCACCTATATCAATGTGCTACGTTATTTATGTACTGTACCTATAGACGTGAGCGTAATAAACAAAATATTGGAGGTGTATATTTGTTGCTCTGAACGTTTTCGCTCGAGCTTGATGGAGATCTAAGGATCTTGTGCCGAGCCGGCGTCATCTTTTTTCGTACCGCTGAGCTTCGGATTGTCAAACAGACAGGTAGAGATAATTTATCTACAATAACCAGAATGTACTGACAAAGTAATATACACGTTGTTGTTTATATCTTAGCAGGGCACGACTCTTTGAACGAACAAGCATACCAGGGTTTTTTTAAAACTATTTTGGTACCTCGAAGACTACGGTCAAACTGATCGGCGTGGTAGACTCTGCCTATTTTGGTGATGAATATGGGTTCTACAGATTGGTGCTTGATAGAAGCTTGTATACCAAAAATCAAAAGTGTCCGGGCGTTGTTTACACGCGACCTATGTTACGTAGTATACGGTACGCAATACATTGCTTGCAAATAGCTCGATGGCGCCGTGGTCCCTCCTACTTGTTCTTGGCGAAAAAACGAAATTTTGTGGCGCCAAATAGTGGCTGCAGAAGGTTTGCACGCAGCAGCAAGGTTCTTCACAATGACCGCTGATGTGATGTCGCTGCGAGCCGTGAATATACAGATATGCTGATTCGAGCTTAGGATTAACACGTACCCTCATTCCGGATTCTTTTTCCGTGGAAACGTGTCGAATGACACTCAACGAAGGAGACGTGAAGCAAAGCAGGACAATGATGGGGAGAAAGTACTGAATGATGAAGAAGAACGGATCCGTGGTGTAGGGCGGCAGCGGAAACCGCTGCAGTAGCACAGTGGTGGGCACGGGCATCGAGACGTTGAAATACCCTTGGTTCACAATGTGCACCAGGACTTCCTGGAACACTTCTTGCTGTAGGTAAAGAAAGCCCTCGGCAAAGTAACCTGAAAGTAGTCGAGCAGAAGGTGATCGGTAAGGGTTTCCAGAAGGTTGCTTAATAAGTTAATAATAATTTCAGAAAAATGACCTTACGCTTCAGTGTAAGTTCGACCGTGGCCAAGGGTACGTTCCGATGGAGGGAGCCAAAAATACTTCGTCATGGCGCTCATGCGCTCATCGTCTTAGTGTGTTTAGTATCAACGGCTAGACCACGGTGAGTGCGGCGTGATCCTGAGCTTTTCTTGGTGCGCGAAGGATTTAGTCAGTGATAGAAAACTCAGAATGACCACGAGCGCCGTTACGATGCTATTTTGGCACTGATTGAATGAATGGATGGATGGATAAGTGGATGTTAATGGCTATAGTCGCTGTACAGCAGCTGTGCATGGGCACGGGCATAACCGACCTTCAGTTTTTGTTTCCTCTTATTTTATCACTTGACTCCATCCCTACCACAGCAGGGCATTGCCATTTCAGATTCGACTGTGTCCTCCCCAGCGTTTGCATTTATGGAGGCTCGCCAAAGTCCTCTTCAGTGGCTTGGTATCTCGGTAAGGCCAAAGAAGGTCGGCAATGGAGGCTGTAACTTGGCGCGTGTGTAAAGCGTCTATACCCTTTGTAACGAGCGGTAGCTTCTGCAACTTAGTCTAAGTTTGGTTTCATCGGATCATATAGTTGGCTGCGCACGAACTTAATGTAAAACAAGCTGAAGTACAAAAACAAACAAACAAACAAACAAACAAACAAACAAAACTATTTGGAGGTTTGCGCAAACCAGCGAAGGACATCTGGCGTACCCCAGCGGAGGACTTAGCATTATTTTTGACTACCTGGTTGACATGCAACCGAAATCTTGATTACACGGCGCCTTTTTTTCGCAATAAGCTTCCGTCATATCGTGTGCATTTCGGCCGGGGTTCGAATCCGTAGGTCCGTTGGATCCGTAGGTCGGTGCTTTGCTTCGAGCTACCGAGGCGGCTACGCACGTCTTGACGACAATGATTTGAAATTCTCGTCCGTAGGCAAAAATATATTTCAAATATATTTTGTGTAATTTAACGGGTTCTAACATATAGTTTGGCAGCATTTATTGCTAACGTTTCTTTAACAGAAGCAGACGCCTGACTTTAATGTGTTATTATTACATAAAAATTCTTAATCTTCCGAATGTAAATTATTTCAGGAAGTTCAACCCTGGCGCCGTCTAGTACACGAATATTTTCTATAGTACGAAACGGTTGGTAAAACTACACATCAACTAGTGATAACAAATGCTGATAGCAAGAGCTTTTCTTTCGCCTGACTCTGCTTTTGTAATGACTTATAATGCACACATAGACGAGTCTGCATTCTTACAATCCTAATGGCAGGCTAGCATTTTTTTTAGGGGCGAAGCTCCTTAAGGTTCAGTCTTGTTCGTCCGGCGTCCGTGCTCACATCGATTGCCATCCCATCTGTCTTCTTGAAAAAGCAAAAATGTTTACGCAGTCGACAAGATTCGAACCTGTGCGGGGAGACCCCAATGGATTTCTAGTCCATCGCCTACACCACTCGGCCACGACTGCGGGACGAGTAGGGGGCTCTGAAATGTGGTAGTAACTCAAGAGCTAGGGATGTCATAGATGAAAACGTTGCATGTAGCCGCTCAACGTCTATACAGGAGATATAATCGCGTTAAACTTTGCGTGCATTGGCTCAACGTTTATAGACGAGAGGGCGCTGCGGTCAAATGCTCAACTGCGTATATAACCACGATCGATACCACAGATTCTCTTTCTGACATGGATGAAAACGAACCCGGAACTCGGCATTACCTGTGAGCAATAAAAAAAAATCAGCGCCATCAGCACTACCTATGAACAAAATCAGTATCATCAGCACCACCAGAGCTTCGGCCCAATCAACATCCTTCACCACGTGGAGATGCGGTCATTTTTTTTTTGCTGACTGCGAATCAAAATAATCCGTTATGGTAGCGAAGAGTTATGTCGGAATTTTTGTTTAGCACATAGCACATAGGCTATATAACTTGGGGATTGTCCGAATCGTTTCGATCAGCGTCATGGCAGAATGTCGACTGGCTCTCAATAAAAAGTCAATATATTATCAAAAAAAAAAAAAAAAGACAACGTTTCTGATGAGTAATTGATTTCTAGTCAGATCTTTTTTTTATATTTAAAATACATCCCAGACTAGCCGGAAAGCACGACGTGACCTACGGTTAGGAGGAAGTCTATTATCATCGTGGGTTTTGTAGTTACGTGCGGTTTACATTCCTCTTGCCAATGTTTGCAAGTCCAGAGGCCAGAGTGCAATGTTCACAGCCTAGCCCGCGGGCAAATCACGCGCCACACGCAAAAACTCGAAGATTTTTTTTTTTTTTTTGTGGGGGGGGGGGGGGGGGGAGGGGGGAGGGGGGAAAGGGGGATAGTCAATATTTCTATATTTTTTAACCATTATATGCTAGTAAAAACTGACGCCTTTAATTTTTTTTTTCTGTTGCACAGAGGAACGTGCCAGGACTTCCTCAGGACTCTTACCTGGACTTCCGTCGTCCTTGTTCTTTGGATGCCTTGGCGAGAAGACCTGGAGCACGGGGAAGTTGCTGTCTGTGCTCCAGGACTGTAGGGGTTCTGAGTTGGACAGCTTCATGCGAGGAGCCGCCTTCAACCGAACCTTAGAGTCCGTGTTTAAAAACAATAAGCAATACCGTATATCGTAATCTGCTAACGTTGACGCAAGTGAACAAACCAGTGAAGATGACTGTGGTTCTCATGTTTAGCACTTAATAGTTACAGCAATATAACGCATTAAGCAACTGCAAATAAATTAAAAGCAGACTGTCGTTTTTAATAATTTTTAGTTTGTTAATGGTTTCCCATATAATCTCAAAGATTACGAAAAGCAAGTCATATAGTTACATTATATATAAAATTACAAAACGCTCAATCAAGGAATGTAGTTAGAGGTTCAAACTCACCAAGATGAAAATTAAGATGAAATTATTCTTTCTTCATCCATAACTTAAACCAACACGCTCTTCCCCCAAGCATGAAAATTAAGTAAGTCTTCCTAAAATAATACAGTTATCAAACAAAAAAAAAAAAAAAAAAAAAAAAAAAACTAATCGTATTTAATCAGGGCAAAACAAATTTACGCAGTTCAACAAAACGATGTGGTCAAAGTGTACGCTATAAAACTTCCCGTGCGTCTACATTTCTGCGATACAACTAATGTGCCAGTCACTGTAATGTACAAAAGGAACTGAGCAACTGTTGAGGCCGGCTGAACGTTTGCACTAAAAAATAAAGTTTACGACGTCAGAAAGCGTGAGTACAGCATATAAAGCGCCATTTTCGGTGTCCCGTCATTAATTCATTTTCCAATGGATGCACCTTACCAGGCTTGTCAATTGCCGAGGTGCTTCCCTAGGTCGCACTAGAGACCCTAAATCAACCACAATTAAAGTATCGACACCGCATTCCCCGATTGTTTTGTAGGCGCCGCCATTTTGTTGCCGAGCGCAAAGCGGGGGCGGCTGGCGATAGTTACGATTCTAAAATGCGAATCGCTGAGTCTTACATATGTATGGCGTGAGAAAGCTCGGGTGATGTCGTTTTGCACTGTCGCGGACTGTACATTTTTGGAAGTCCAAAAAAAGAATTCCTGGGATTTTGAAAATAAAGATTTAGTTTACAGTCAAAAATAATTTCAAACAAAGAGACGCCTGAAGTGCATTTACTGCGAAGTCTAGCTTATGTAGGTCACGCTGATTGACTCTGAGTATTTTGCCAAAAAGTACAACCATTGTTTGGGGCATAAAACAAATAGAAAAAAATTATCGATATAAATATAACTTTATAATCGGGACAGGTTAAGAACCCAGTCGGTGCGCTCTGCCTCAAGCGCAAGCTTTCTGCCTCTGATAACACTTCGTCACATGCGCAACCAAAGCCTAGAGGAAGGCAACGAGAGCAAGCTGGAGGCAGAGCATCTATTGGGTTCTTAAAGGGTAACTGCAAAGAAAAAAAAGTTTTTTTTTAAACAGCCTAATTGGGACAAGCATGTCACAAAACAAATGTTCCGCGAAAAAAAATATTTTTTTTATCAATATTTACGCCACAGGACGTAATTTAGTAGAGTCAGAATTTCTCCACATTTGAAACTCCCGGTCTTTCGACCCCCGCGGAAGAGGAGTACGCCCCGCCCCTCACTCTCCTTGCGTTGCGGAGTTGAACGACGCAGCGTCTCGACTTCCGGCAAGATCTGGCAACCACGCCAGGCCGTGGTATTTTTTTGGTTTGACACGGTTTGCGAGCACATGTAGCGAAGACGTGACCGGAGAAGTGCCCCTGTGATGTTCCCGGAAGATGGAAAGTATCGTTCGTAATCGTCGTGCGCGCTTTCAAAGCGAAGGGAGTCACAGAATCCACGAGTGCGCAACCACGAGCCAAGGTTCACGACAGCGCTGCGTTGGTTTCGGCGATCTCGTTCCGTTTGGTGCAACACGGCGATGAGACAGCTGAAACGTTTGTGGTGTGTGTAATGCGGTGCTAACACGGAGCGCAAATTGGTTGTTGTGGGGTTGACGTTCAACCAGTTAAGTCCCGTCGTCGTCAGCTGATCCAGTCAAACTGGTCCGGGAGGACGCTGGGAGCGTTCTTAAAAGTAAATCTGCCTCGTTCTGTTTCAAAATGTGGAAGTTTCCCGACGCATTCCGTGAGTAAAAAGCTGCGGGCGTTTTCAACAAAATTACTACGTTTTAATTGAACAATGGACTCCGCATTGTTGTCCTAAATCTGCCGTTTTTATGCTTCGTGTTGGACTGCGTTTGCACAGCGACGTGTGGCATCGTGCGGTGTGAATAAATTTGGGCACGATTTCGTACCTGCCTACAGATGCATGAACTGAGACCATTTTTATGTAGTGGACATAGTGCTTTTTTTATTTTCTGTCTAGTCGCGGACGTTAGGTGCACACGGGGGCGAATCTCGACGGCCTCCAGAGCGATACGACGAGAACGTAACTGGACACGTTTGTCGCTACGCGAACGCCCGATTGCCTCCACCCAAATAGCATTCCTTTCGGGGCGACATGGCTGCTGGAAGGCTCACTGTCGAGATCACGCATCTAACATCTCCGAAAAGTCAGCATTTGCACGCACAAACAAGCAAAAAAAAAAAAAAAAAGCACGCTAAGCAAGCAAAGAGGAAAACGAAAGAACCGCGCTATGAAAGCCAAAACCCCGCGTCGCTTCCTATCACTAACACCTGCGACAGCTGCTAAACACACACTACTTCACTTCAAGAAGTCTCACTCAAGCACCTGGGTCAGCACGAAACGACGAAACACTGATCACTTCGGCGAAACGATTAGTCGAGGTAGGCGAGACAGGCGGGGGCAGACTTCGGCGGCCATGAAAGATGGCGAAGCTTTTGTTTGTATGAATCCAAACGGAAGTGCCCGTCTTGTAAACCTTTTGTAAAGAATAATAACTCTCATCACATGGGTTATTCTTTAAACGTAAAAATATGCCGCTCAAAAGGAAATTGCAACGAATAACAAAGGTTTAACAACCAAGATCTAAGCTGTCAATCAAACTCTTAGCCAATGAGAACCTTTTGGGATTGACGTCACATAATCACAACTTCGTGGCGCGCGATTTAAAACGGGCGAAATAGCCGCAAACTAAAATCAGTCTCACGCAATAAATATTGCTGTAAAAAATGTTTTTTCTCGCGGAAAAATTGTTTTTTGACATGCTTGTCCCAATTAGGCTATTTAAAAAAAAACTTTTTTTTCTTTGCAGTTACCCTTTAACCTGTAGCCAATTATTCGCAACTGCAACCCCTCCCCTATAGATGGCGAGACGGTAGTCCCCAGATGGCGGAGAAGACGGGGACAGATATTCTCTCGGATTTCTCTCGCGACTGTTCGTTGCAGCTGCCCAGTGCGCTAAAATTAGTAATTTGGCTACAAATACGGGGGCGGTCGGTGGAAGAATACATCTTAGGTCACGAAGATGTTGACGTGAGTAAGAAAAATGAGCATTATGATTTTTGAAAATTGCGAAGAAGAAAACAATTTCTACCTTAGCGCACTACGCCGGCCAAAACCATGCGGTGGCAGCAGCATGAAGTCCGAAAGTCCCTGCCACCGTCTCCGCCACCGTCCCTGCTCTTAGGGTTCTCGTTCGTTTGCGAGAGGGCGAGCGGTGTGCTTTAGTTGGGAACAGTTTGTCTCCCTTTATGGGCGAACGAAGCCAAACCTAAAGGCACACGCATGTTACTTTGAAAGATACCTGCCCTACATTATTACTCGCGTGCTCGGCAGGCACACTGAGAGCATGGAGCTTATTCTTAAATGTTCTTATTCGCGACTCCAGCAAAACGGACGCCACCAAGCGGGAAAACCGGGAACCAGCCGGTCCAGGTCGCTCCGCGCCCCTCCGCGTCTCAGATGGCTTTCGCGGACACGTGTTGTCGGCGCGATGGCGAACAGTGTAATTTCACGAAGGTCCGAAAATTTCTTAAGTTTGCCTGAGTGTTCATTAGTGCGGTGAAGCCTCAGTAGATTGTTTCCTTCCACCACGTGTTTTCGATTTCTTGGATGGGGAGCAATCGCGGAAAAACGTTTTGATTTCTTGTCTGTCTCGAATCACATTCAAAGTGACGACTGCTTGGTAACTGATAGGGGGTTTCTTTATAAGGATATAGAAAAGTGGGAGGACGACAGACGAGGCATTTCACTGGAGGGAACACCAATGCCACCTCCTTCAAGTGAATGGGAAGGTTCGATAGCTGATTTTCTTGAGTTTGGTTGTGTTCGATTAGCTTCAAGTTCGAGCCACCCACGCCGGTCGGTGCGTTGGCTATACTTCGTTTCAGCTTCAGTCCAGACGCAGCCGATGCTACAAGCGCGAGCATCTGGCCCAGAACAGTGCTTGCACTGCACGAGCGCGCGTGCTTGGCAGGGATGCTGAAAGCCCGGAGCTCGCGTTTGTAGCTTTGGCTGCGTCTGGACCGAAGCTGAAACGAAGTGTAGTCATCTTGGCTGCTTTTCGCCGAAAAATCCTTTGGACCACTCTGAAGGAGTTGGGCTGATTTCGCAATTATTTGATTCAGGAAAGCCTGCTCACTGCAAATGATGAATGAGGGAAATGATCTGTTTTTCAAAAGGTGGGGGACGCGTTTCGCAACGTTAGAAGCTGTCACGGCATTATGATCTATCGCGCCTCCAATATTTATATTATACCCCCGTCGAATTAAGCCAGCAGCAATATACGTCTTCATTGCTCAGGTTGACCGGCCACAAAAATACTCATTTTTTCCGTTCAGGATTCGAAGTCAAGTTCAATGCTGAGAGGTTCTGCGAGAATCTCCAATGAAGAAGTTTGTCCGCATTCGTCTCAGTGCTACCGGCCAGAACCATTTCGCCAAGTTTAACTTAGTATCTCTCTGTCTGTCAAATATACTTTTATTCAGCAGTTCACCTAATAGCTAATTAACTAAGCTCATATTTCAAACCGAAGAATATACTAATATCGCTTTAGTGGGACATAGTACGTAATATAATATAACCCGCTCGTCAAAATGACTTCTCGATTGCTGCTAAAACCTGAATTGAAATACGAGTATCAGCTGCTTAGTGGGGCGCCGGCGGGTTAACATTCCTTGGCTCAAGAAGCGCTTGCTTAATTTTCGTAAATTTCCTGCAGCCTCTGTTGTTGACCGAGCACACGGCTGAAGCTATTTCTTAAACGCGGATACGCACAAAAGCCCGATTTCACGGACAGATAAGTCGCATGGTCGAGGCATGCAAGTTGGCTGATAATCACTATCGGTGGGAGAATTCTGCACTCATTGCCGCTTTCTTTAGATGATCAAAACTGATTAGTATATTACCGCCTCTCCAGAGCCCATAGTTTCGGTTTCGAACGAAATCTCCGAAACGAAAGTTTGACATGAAAAGAACAAAAAACACAGTTGGAAAACAAAACTATGCTCTGCAAGTTTATGTGCACCGGCTACACTTAACCGTCTCAGTTCAAATACCTATAATATTGGGCATTAAACAAAGAAAATCTGTTAAATTGAACGCGCCACCTGTTCAGGCGGCCCGGCCGAGTCGACGCGACCTGGACTCAGCCGCCATGTTTTTTTGGTGGTGGCGCCCCCTATAGGTCGCTGGAGTCGCGAATACTCTCGCAGAGTGTAGCTGAAGGCAGGGAGTGTAGCAGGATGGAGCGTAGCGAATATGCGGACCGCAAGTTCGTCCGCTTGTTTTGCAGGGGTTGTGGTGACGTCAGAACGCCGAGCTCTGATTGGTTCTGAATAAAAGATAGTGGGTAGACCTCACGGCAGGTTGCTTTGAGGTTTACCCACTATCATTAAATCAGAGCCAATCACAGCTTGGCGTATTTATGCCGTTACTGCAACTCTTGCGTTAAAAGCAGACAACTTTCTCTACGGATTGCGATACACTTCAGGTGGCTTATACTTACTTTGAATCGCACCCGATCGACGAACATCTGAGTCGCGTTGTTTTCAAAGTCTGGAAAGACGATACCTCCCAACACGGAATCCCTGTGCGCCATCTCTGCCGTATAGTGCGCCACCATGGCTTCTTCGGTCTCAAAGCCTCGTGCTGCGTATATACAAAAAAGAAAAGCGAAATGTCTGAACCACGCATAAAAAAGGAAATGTGGCGTGTGACCCTGCAGCTCCAGGGATCAGGTACGAAGAAACAGTTTTTGAATATAAATATAACAATTAAAAGTCTTTTTTTTTTTTTTTCGAGCAGTGCTTTGCAATGCCAGGCTCGTATCAATAGGGATTTTGAATTTCTCGGTACGTTTCGGCTTGCAAGAACACAAATAAAGAAATGGGCATGGGTGAGGTCACATGACACCAAGACGCCACGGGACCACGTGCTTTCCCGATTGCCACATGTCATCACGTCGCACCGTGACGTAACTACCTAAAAAGGCAACGCATTTAGAGCTTCTTTGGGATATCCCATGGGCGGTCAGACGGACATATTGAAAAAAAAAAAGAACACACAAAAGGGAAATATTTTAAGGGAAGAGGTGAAAAGCCACAATAAAAAAGCGAAGCACTTAAAAAAAAACAAAAAAAAACAGCACTTAAATTTCGTCTGTAGCAGCGAAACAGAGACACTAAAGACTGTTTACGTGTAGAAATGCGAATGCATTCGTACACGCAGCGGTATTTCTTTGTGTTTTATTGGGAATGGGAATTTAGGTGCCGTTTGCCTGCTACAGGCGGTTACAGACAACGGTTACAGACAACGCCGACTTCGCTCCATGGGACAGTTAATGATTTGGCATTAACATTTTTCCTTTCAGTTGATGTCGACGGTGGATTCCACTAATAAAGCGATTGCCCAGTACGATTTTTTTTAGTTTTTACTCCTAATTGGTAAAACAAAGACCTTGTTATGTCTTCCTTTTTAGAGCCCAGCTCCTAGGCACCCGGTTCCGCGTTTCGCGGCGTCGCCTTCAGCGTCGGCCTCGTCGTCGGCGTGATCGCCCTGCTAAATTTAGCGGGAAATTGAATTGGTATTGAGGCCACGTGACGTCAATTTTCCCGCTCAATCTAGTGGAGAAACTAAATTACTCCACGGGTGACGTGCCATGAAGTCTTGTGACGGCATTTTTCCCCGCTAAATTAAGCGGGGAAACTAAATTGGTGTTGAGGTTACGTGACGTCAGTTTCTCCACTAAGTTTAGCGGGTTAAGGAGAAGGAGGGGAGGGTACGGCGGGGCATACACTCTCCTCCGTACCTTCCCCTCTGTCTTCCTTTAGAGCTGCGCTCTACTTTGGCGTTACAGAAATTCGTAAACGTCTTTCCTTTTTTATCTTCTCCCCCGCAAAAAAAAAAAAAAAAAAAATGGGGAGGGGAGGGGGGGGGGGGGGGGAGGGGGGCGTAGGTTTTCCAGGGGGCTGCGAGCTGTACTTGTGTCCCCGAAGATCATCATGAGGCTCGCGGGCCTCAGTTTGGTCAGGCACTATTTTTGCTTTTATCTGTGATGTTTTGAAAGCACCTACCTTCTAGTTGGGGCACGGCGTCATTGGCGACGTTATTGAGGAGCCTGTTGACCAGCTCGGTGTTTGGCGCGTAGAACAGTATCCACTTGGAAGCGCTCGGAGGGGGCAGCCTGTAGCGGAGCGGCAGGCGGTTGATGCTCAGGTGCTCGAAGAGGGTTACGTTGTGCACGGTCTCGAAGGTGACGTGGAGGCGGGCGTAGACCAGCGTCAGTGCCAGCAGTCCGGGCACCAGCACTTCTAGGGCGAAGGTGAGCTTACGGCGCTTGATGCTCGTTACGTAGCACTTCCAGATGAGGAGCGACAGTTGAGGCGGGACCACATCCATGATGCGAAAATGAGGCCGACAAGACATGCTGTAAAGGCCGTAAAAATATTCGCATAATTTTACGCCTATTTTATTATAGTAGATGTAAGTTAAGAACTCTGTATTATGAAAAGTTGTCTAAAATGACACAAAGTTGAAATGTTAGCAAGGACAACGAACTCGCACTCGAAGCACAAGATTTTTTGATTCGGGAACAAAGGCTTAAATGATATTAACTGACGGTTGCGCTTAAAAAAAAAAAAAAGAAAAAAAAAACACAATTTACGCTTGATCTGCGCTGTGAGGAATATTCTGATGTTCAATATGCTGATGTCGGGATTTTGTAGGAGTTTGCTTTGTGTTTCTGCTGTCCAGCGCACTGCCTGTGCGGCGCCGGGGCTTACACTGCGTCGAGCGAGGGTCAAACACATTGAAATAGGAAACACAGCCTTGCAGTTTTTTTGTTTACTTTTGAATGATTTTTAGATGTCCTAGCATGTATCGAAGACCCCGAGCTCCTGTGTTCACAATTAATTCGTGCCCAGTAGTTTATGTGAAATTTAAGCATCATCTAGAAACTTTGTGTACAAAAAAGAATAAAAGGTTGTAAATGAAAGAACACGAGTGGAATTGAAATCAAGATTGCTGTATAGGTTACCTTCTTTTGAATTCAAAACTTCCTCTCTTCGCCCTTCTGCATCAATATGTACATTGTGTGTTGGGTTCCTTTTTTTTAGGCTTAATATTTTAGCGATTGCGGGGGTGTTCGTTCGGGAATTAATTTTGTTTTCCAGATATTCGATGTTTTTCGGTATCAATATTTGGTTCGGACGAAAAATCGGGGTTTATCGGGACCTCCGTTGAAGCAAATAGGGCGCGGACATAGAAGTTTCTAGCGTTCAGGGAACAGACCCCCGGACGGAATACTGGGAAAACGTGCACATACCGATACTAGAGGGAAAATAAATAATTTGTTTGGTTTCGAAGGCACAGCCGAGCAGACAGTTCATCAGGCTGTGTGCCCTTCTTCTCGTGAAGTTTGAATTTTTCTCCATCAAGGAAAGCTTGAATTCGGGATTTTCGATTTTCCTCGATCTTCATAAAACAGACTCAGAAGTTTCTTTTCGGTGTTCATTGGTATTCACCGAGACACGCAACTCTAATTATATATGACCTATAAAATGGGTTGGAGTGTGGGGAGGAGGGGATTGTTGAGTAATATCATAGCCTATATACTGACAAAGTCTGGCAGATCGCCACGAGACGCGGCCTCCGAATATGGAAAAGGTGGTGCGGCAGACAACGGATGAGAGGAGAGCCATGTGACTGGCACCCCGCTGCGGCAAGACGCGTCCTCGCCCGTGCAAAAGCTGTGCGCTGACTTCCAGGTTCCCCGAGAAATGGATCTTTGGTGCTCTGTGCTACCAGATCCTCGCGCTCCAGATCTGCGACCGGGGCACTCGATGGCTCCGTCGTCGAACTGCCGGGCTTTTGAAGTAGAGAGGAGGCTATGGTAACGTTCGAAAAGCAAATGCCAAACTTTCGGAGAATCCCACTGGGCGTTGCGTAGTTTCCTAGGCTGTGTGGTCATTGTTAACCGTCTCCTTAAATAAATACGCTTGAAGCTACATGTTATCATGACATATCAATCACAAAATTAGATGGAACATCGAAAAACCGCTGCTCACCAGAATGACAGTCTTGTTGAGAGCACGAGACGGTTAATCTGCACGTTGGCTCACGTGCGCCCGCCAGCAGTTGTCGTTTTCTTCTCTATGACATTGTAAGAAACAAGTAGCCTTGCTGCGCGGCCTACAAAGAACTGCCAAAGCTAGCAGGCAGAGTGTTCGGTGTGGAATACACTTACAAACCTATAATAAAGTATTCAGGTGGACTGCAAAGTCAACTCCATCAGTACAGAAATACAGAGTGGCCCACAAAAATTTTACAGTTTTTTTACCGCAAATATAAATTTTGTAACGCCGAAAGCTCCTTCTCCACTAAAATATGGCGCTAGCGTTCCGAACCAGCTGTCGACGTTTCTGAAGAAACCATTATCTTTTTGAAAAGTTACAAGAATTTGTTTTCCAACTTTTAAAGGGAAAATGACGTCCGACGGTGCCCCCGAAAATACGGAACTTAATGGTGCTTAATACAGATTTAAAAAAGAAAACCGGGTTTTATTTTTTTTGTAAAAATATCATTTATATCTTTTGACTAAGATAACGGTTAGTTTTGAAACTATGCCGCTTGATTCGGACCACTAGCACTACATTTGTGCGGAAAATGAGCGTTTGGCAAAGCCTAATTGAATTTTGCAGCTAAAAAGGAAAAAAAGAAAGACGTTTACAGCTTTCTGTAACGCCGAATCAGAGCGCAGCTTTAGAGGAGGGGGAGGGGAGGGTACTGAGGGGAGGGTATGCCCCTTCTCCTCATTCGTACCCTCTCCTCATCCCCTCCTCCTTTTTCACGCGCGAAACGCGCGTAGTCACGAGTGACGTTTCGGCGCGGTGCATTATGGGACGCTTCGGCCCGGTGCATTATGGGACGTTTCCCATAATGCACTGTGCGGATACACCGACGCCGATGCCGACGCCGACGCCGACGCCGACGCCGACGGTGACGCCGCTCAAGTCGAAAAAAAACGCCTAAAAGCTGCGTTCTAGAAAAAAAGGATATTAATTGTGTAAAATATTTTTGGTTCGCGCTGTAGATGTACGATCTAGAGATATAAAATCGTGATTGCAGGCTTTGCGGTAATTCTCGCTACTGCAGTAACAAAATATATTAAGGCCACGGTCCCACTGAATGTGGCAGTTAAGGTACTATATGGCAGGTCATTACTCATCTCCTCTTAAATACTGTTTTGTGAAATTGGTGTCATTCGAAAGGCAGTGCAATCCTCTTTCATTTGATATTATGTATGTGTTGGTTTATACTGCTCATGCGCATTTGTAGCGTTGCGAATATGATGGCGCGGACCCTCACTTGCTCCGCTAGTTCATGTTTTATGAACGATCCATTAAAGGTAACACGGTTCCAATATAGCAGTTTTGTTAAGATGATTTCGGAGCAGAATGTAACGATACACTTTTTTGGTATTTGCACTACTTTGTTTTTTTCATCCCTCCAAATATTGCCCTAAAATTGACATTTTACAGCACAAATTTGTTTTTAATGACAAGCGCTAGGGCAATGAAATTAGCTACAAATGTAGTGCTTATAATTGGTAATATGCACAAAAAAATTTAATGTTGTGTAAAATTTGTTTGTTTAGATATTTTATATCAAACGTAGCACTTTTTTGTGCTTCGAGTCATGGTACTTCAAATGCCGCTGAGGAAATAATTAAACTATGATAAAATCTTTTATAAAATTTAGAGCTACAATGGTTGCCCAAGAGGTGGACGATGGCTTTTTTTCATTTTCAAAGTCATAACGCTCCAGGAGCCCTTCAAACTTACCTGTTTTGACGCATATCTTTTTTTGACATCAAACTGATTTATTGGCATCTAATAACATTTATTGGTTGGAATAGATATACTTTGCGATGTATTACATTTTCACAATGATCTTGCTTTAGTTTCTTAATAGGTGTAGAGCGTAGCTAATTTTAAAAACAATTAAAACTGTTTGGGTGTTTTGTTGCGCTACCTGGCGGATGGCAGACAAAACTGCTGATTTCTAATGTTCAAAAAATTTCCGAGGGCGGCGTTGGCGTCTGTATCATCATCAATCTCCGTGTCTTTTTACCCTCACATTTAAAAAATATATTGGAAGATTTACTATCGATAAATGAATGGTTTAAGTACTGGGTCAGGTTAATAAATCTAATACAAATAATTACACAAGCGTAGCGTGATATAATGTGTTCATTATTCGATATGGTTGAAATCAATAAACAATAAAGACGAAGAGGAAAAGAATACACCCGAGTTCACTTCATGCCTAGGGTCAATAAATGAGCTTTAGAGTATCGGCACTCCGCTCCCCAAAATTGTTTTGGGCGCCGCCATTTTCGGTCTTGTTCAGAGCAAACGCAACTGCCGATCGTCATGATCCAAAAGTACGACTTCCTCAGCATTGGATGCGGTGCTAGGAAGCTGTTGCACTATTGCAATGCTCTGTCGTGGGTTGTTTAAACATTTGTGGGGGACGGAAAAGCGTTCCTGTGATTTTAGATAAAGCTTCAGATAACTGGCAACCATGATTTTAAGCCACAATATGGCCAAGTGTCGTTACTCTGAACCGTAGCTAATTTACTGGCACAAGCGGGAACAATGAGGAAGAGGCAGGTGTCAAAAGGTAGTGGCTTGTGGAATCCACGGGGCTTACTTCATGGCCCGTTCAGGTATTACAAGCCTCTTGAACAAGAGCATGAATAGAGTCATTAAATAAGCTACGCCTCAGAGTAGCGACACTTGGCCATATTGTGGCTTAAAATCATGGTTGCCAGTTTTTTTAAGCTTTATCTGAAATCACAAGAAACGCTTTTCCGTCCTCCACTTTAAACAGTTTGCGACAAAGCAAAGCAACATTACATGAGCTTCCTAACACCGAATCTAATGCTGAGGATGCCGCACTTTTGAATCATGACGATCGGCAGTTGCGCCTGCTCTGCACAAGCACCGAAATGGCGGCGTTCACAACACTGTCGGGGAAGAGAGTGCCGATACTCTAAGCGCAGCTCATTTATTGGCTCTAGTTCCCGCGAAACTCCTTTCCCCTGACTGAAACTGAAAGTAAATATGAATAATACACCATTATTATAGCTTATTTAGTTATAACCAACTACACATAATGAGAAGAGGAAGCGGCCGGGTAGGAGAAACGCAGGTCTTATGTGCGACCGTTCGAATCGTTTTAAACTAGAGAACGCGCAAGCTTGTGCTGGTTTAAAAAAAAAAAAAAAAAAAAGGCATCCAAAGAAAAGAGGCGGCACGCTGTGTTCGTTGATATTATGCGTCTAATTGCAAATTGTGGTGTGTATGTTTATACAGCCGGAAGTTAGTCTGCCTTAGTGGGCGTCTGGTGTCTCAGCTGTAGAT